TGACTAGGACAGAATTCTTCATTTTTATAACTTTTTCTGATGCATATACATGTTCTTAAGTTCTGTAGAAAGTTTGAGCTGATTCTGATCAAAATTGAATTTTTTACAAATTTTTTAAGTTACTCAAAAACAGGGATTTTGTCAAAAATGGCTATAAGAGAATTCTCCTTGTACATGCACTTAGTACTTATGTTGTGTAGCTAAATCTGTCCCTAGTATTGAGTACAAATCTCAGTTCTAGAATATTAAAATTCACTCTTTTCACTTGCAGTTTCCGCAACTAAAAGGTTTCATATTTGGAGAAGAAACTAACACCTTTACCCTCTCTAATGGAGAAATTGTAACAATAGAAATTGGACCGACTCCTGTAGACACGGCCCACATGCTATCACGATTATTGGACTCAAAATTGGCCGGGGTCCTAGCCGAGACTATCCACAAAGAAATGAAGACATTTTTGAAGGAGGAAGACAGAGAGAAAGTCAAACTCCTCAAATATTTGGACGAAAGACAATTGGGAGTCTGGATTGACCCCTTAGGTACGAAAATTATGATTATTATCAAGAGTAGATAATCTACTCTTGTTATTATTATTATTACTGTTTTAATTTCAGATTGACCTTTTACAGTAGATATAACAATTATATAATTGCTTTATTTATTATTATAGATAGCACAAATGAATATGTGAGAGGTGTTACCGGTTTCAGTAGTGATGGACTCTATTCCCAATCTATTCACTGCGTCACAACCCTCGTGGGCGTGTTTGATCGTATCACAGGGAAACCACTAATTGGTGTTATCAATCAGCCATTTTATTCTACTGATAGTGAGGGGGTGTGGTGTGGATGGAGCTTGTGGGGAATCAGTGAGGAAGGTTTAATTGGAATGTCCTCACCTCTGACCCCTGGTAAGTACTAAGTACTTGAATGATAATATTTCTATGATTGTAATTTTTTTATTTTTTAGTCAGGAAAGGTGACAATTTAACTAAAAAAATCTGTTTGGTAAGCAGCAGTGAAGATTCTCACTTACTTGATAAAATTAATGCAAGTGCTGAATGGAGAACAATCAATGTATCTGGGTGTGGCTACAAGCTATTATCTGTTATTACTGGTCTTGCTAATGCTTACGTATTGAGTAAGGACTCTTCCTTTAAATGGGACACTTGTGGACCTCATGCGATACTACTAGCAATGGGAGGGAACCTGGAGCCTTTTGTAAGGCAGGGAGGAGGAGGTGAAGTGTTGTATCATTGCCATGGTGAAGGAGAGGGAAGCAAATGTTGGGCAAACAAGGACGGGATTATTGCCTATGTATCTAAGGATATTTTGAGCTCTTTACTCTTTGTAATAGACTAATGATGAGGATTTTAAGAACAGCAAATCGAACGTTCATTAATCATTATGCATGCATTTTATCATC